AATGAACGGGGCTTAAGACTATGACCCTCTCTTATAGACTTTTCTTTGGTCCTTTTGATCGGAAGTCTTTCCAACGTAACACATAATTATAAAAACGTAACATGACAATTATTAAACGTAACATCAACGTTGAAGAATAATAACTCTAAGAAATTTAGTCATTTAAATATTATGTTACTTCTCTCTAACATTAATATTACGTTTAATAATTATCATATTACATTTTTATAATTACATATTATTTTAGAGAGGCAGTTGGGACGGTCCTTTCAGAGTAACTTAAGAAAAAACCAGTATTTGTATTAAATGAAATTAAAGTTAAACCTATAATTTAAAATGTACATATTTTAAACTTATCCTCGTGTAAAGGAACGGAAGTATTGTTTTTTAAGCCCATTATTGATGCACAAGTGCAGTCCCATAGTATTGATGGACTAGGATACACGTATCAAATAGAAGAACATGATAAACATCTTAATTTATTATTATATAAAATAAACCGTAAGCAGGGACTAAGAAAAGAAAATCGCATTACCCGTTTGTTTCATATACTCAATTTAAATTATTAAATCTACTACAATATATTTTTTATCACAAAAAATTTAAATTTCAAACGTGAGAATTAAGAATTATTGTTTAAATATACCCCTTCAAATAAAACTCATTTTTATTTCTATTCCTTAACATTAGTCTATATATTTCTATCTTTTAGACTAAAACTAATTAAGAGGTAAAATTTTTTTAAAATAGATATTTATAATAAGTCAAGTACTTAAAAAAATGAATGTGTAATTTTAAAAAAAAAAAAAATCTGCCGAGCCTAATGCACTGCACAAGAATTGATGCAAACAGATCATACAACATCTGTGACTGGAATCTGAAACCATGCATCTCCAACAGGTTTTTTTTTTTTTTTTTTTTTTTTTTTTTCCTAATGAGTATCAAACATATGCTTTACCAATGAATAAATTAGCCAAAAATAAAAATAAAAAACCAACAACAACAACCAACTAACCTTCTTCAGTCTCATCATTGATCACAATTAATATTATCTCAAACATATGCGCATCAAATAACTTATTTGTGTATATATAGATCGTTATATACACTAGATCTATTATGGAGGTAATTTTTGGTTGCATATATATATATATATATATATATATACACACACATTATTGAAGCTATAACTCTTATTTTATAAAAAAATGAAATATGAAATTATTAGAATTTAAATCTTGATGGATACACGCACACATTTCACCTAACCAACAACTTTTGTTTAATTAACGAGGAAAAGTAATTTCCATTATTGAAAAATCGAGCATATGGATACTATATAGATTGGATTACTTTTGACCTCGTTCATTTCACCGATTTAAGTTTAAAATTCGAGTTTTGTTACAGTAAAAAAATTTTCAGAAACAGTCACATCTAACTTTTTTACTACAGTAAAAAGCTCTCACATAAAGTCATATTTTAACTTAAATTAAAAATTCAAATCAACTAACTAAACGGACCATTTATTTCCAGTCATTTATCCCATAATGGTGCAAAGACAATAATAATTTTGTAGCATGATATGAAAAAAAAAATACTCCACTGTTAAGTTATAGTTATGAATCATTAAATTATATAATTATCATATTAGATTAAGAGAAATATGACTATTTACAAAGCTTAATAAAAATTTAAAGGTTTATAAGTTAATTACCTCATCAATTAGGGTAGTTATTATTTTCTATTTTACTACAATTTTTTTTTGAAATGTATTTTACTACAATTCTTAGCATAATAAATTAGTAATTCTTTTTTTAGGAAAATTGGTAAATTATTTAGACAAAGAGTTGCTTTTTTTTTTAATAAAGAAAATGACATATGTTTATGAATACAATAGTGAAGTTCATTTCAAATATAAAAGATGCAATAGTGAAGTTCAAATAAATACAATTCCTCGTCAGTAGGTAAGGTTCCAGGAAGATGGATGCTAATGGCAGACTTTAAAGACAGACTTTAAAAGATATCAGAGATTTTTGTTTGATAACGAGCCTCATGTCTTTATAGTTTTAAGGCTTTTTTTTTTTTTCAGTACCTTAATGTATCGATAGACTAAATTTTATATCTGTTGGGTCTGTATAAAATTACTTAAAAATAAAAAAAATACGTATATTGAACTGTTAAAAAAAAATCTAACATATTAGTACGCGAGACATATTAGAAGATTTCTCTAATTTTAATTACTTGCTATTGCTCGCTGCTACTTTAAATTAAATGCAGTATCATTTTGAACTTCAAGGTTGATATAAGGAATTATTGCAATATATCATACACAGCAATTATAAAATAGATTTTTCATATACAAAAATATTACAACACAGATCCGACAAATACTAAGTGATAACCAATGATATATCAATTATGACAAACCCCACATAATTGCCTAAATCGCAGGAAAATTTGGACTGAAGATCTTAAAATTACCGAAATTTGTTTGGGGACTTCTGCAGTAGGGTACACACGTACTTTTCCTCATTAATACGATTTAAAGATTATTATTGAATTTCAATGAGGGTGCACATACTCCTCAACACAATAGAATATAGCCTAATGTCTCGTTCACTTCGCGAATTTAAATTTTTAATTTGAATTGAGATGTGATATTTTTTTAGAGTTTTTCACTGTAGCAGAAAAAGTTAGATGTGACATTTTATGAGAGTTTTTTATTGTAAAAATCTAAAACTGAAAACTCAAATCGGTGAAATAAACGAGGCCTTTACAGTAACCATAACTGGAATACTTGCAAAAACAAGCTCCATAATTTTATGACATACGAAATTTCACCCGTATTTTTAAGCAACAACAAAAATGTCCTTTATTGATTTTTATACTCAAAACAATATTTTTTATATTCTTAAAAACGTCATAATTTTTTTGTTTTAATTGCGATTTAGATGATTTTTTTCTTATGCGTTTAGAACGAAGATACGAATAAAACCCCACCCCTATACCCTATTAAAATTTTCCATCATCATTGGATTTTTATTAAAATATTATTTAAATACAAACTCAAGTTTTGACCCACCCAAACACAAACTCAAAAAGATTCTCATCTCTAACCATAACTCAAACATACACAACTAAACATAAACTCAAGTTACAATTTCAACTGAAGTTATAACTCAAATTTAACTTAAAATCTACACTTAAGTCACCGTAACTAAAAAATACAACTAAACAAGCCCTATTATGACTTTAATCATGTAGGTGCCCATGAGGTGGTTCAAACTTGTGCTTTTTTTTTTTAAATGGCTATATTACTTTGAGGTAAATGACAGTTAAGGCCCATCTAAAAGGTGTACTCAAACCATAATTTTTAATTCTGACGTTTAAAATTTAATTTTTTTAACGAGAGAAAAACACTATAACAGAATTAATAATTTAAATTTGAGTATATAAAACAAATGAGCCCTTAGAGTTTTCAGATATTTTTAGGAATCAAGGACTAAGAACATATGCTCAAGGAGACTGATGGTTGAGATTTAAACTAGAAACTAAAATGTTCTATAATATAGGAATATTTAAATATTTTTAAGATTTGAAAGAAAAAGTGTGTTCATATGCAATTGTCTTTATTTTAGTTTATTTGAGCCATTAATTTGTCATATAAGAGTCTATATTTTGTACCATATCTATGTAGAGAGAAATAAATTAAAAGAAAAAAGCAGATGTATGGTACGACAGGTTTTCTCAATTTCTTTTGTTTTAAGGAGATTTCTCTTGTGGATTCTGAAAAATAAATTAGTGAAAAATTTTTATTTTCAACAAGTAAATATGTATTAAAAACAATTTATTCTACATATTTTTTTAACGGTTAAAAACTAATCTTATGCTAAAAAGAGCCTACAGAAAAAAGTCTCTTGTTCTAACTTAACTACCAAAACTTTTTATCTCCTTTTCCTGGTAAATAAAAATTAGTCATAAATTACCGACCGTCTCTTTTGTTGAAGAATTCCAAAGTAATCACTTTTTTTCTTCTTTTAAGGCCTTGAAAAGTGAAAATAACCAAATTATGACATCTAAAGGTCCCGTTTATTTTACCGATTTGAGTTTTAAGTTTTAAGTTTTTATAATAAAAAATTCTTAAAAAATGTCACATTTAATTTTTTTTTTTTTTTTTGCTACAGTGAAAAGTTCTCAAAAAATATCACATCTTAATTTAAATTAAAATTTTAAATTCACAAAGTAAACGAGGAGAAAATTAGGCTCCGAAAAATGCAAAAGAATAATAACTTTTGAATCCCAAAAAAAAAAACACAAAAAAAAAAGAACCGACTACTTGTACGACCTTTCTCCTTAAAGGTCTCTCACTTTGTTAAATGAGATTATCCAACATAAAGAAACCCAAAGCCCATAAACCAAACACATTTCTTTTTTATTAAAAAAAAAGGAAGAAAGAGAAAAATAAAAAGATTTGAGATGAATTAAAATTAATAGATTAATAGTTTATATAAGTTAATAAATATGTCAAATTACTGTTTTTGTCTATAATTTGTCTGGTTATGAACCATAACTTGACAAGTTATTGTCTATAATTATCTATAACTTAACTGACTATGAACCATAACTTGATAAATTTATCTATAATTTATTTAATTATGAATTATAACTTAACAAGTTATGATCTATTAATTTCTATAATTAAAACTTAACTTATATACTTTTTTAAATTTTTCATATTGATCTATTTTTTATTATTTTCAAAAAAAAAAATTTCAGGGCGGCCAAAGTCACACCGAAAAGTTGTTCTCTTCTCTGTTATATTTTTCATAAAAGAAAAAAACTCCATAAAACGACACACACATGATAACGACATCCTCTTTGCCAGTTGGCCCCATTCACACTTACTTTTACTAAAAATAATTATTAAATTAAACGATATTCGGTTATTAATTAATTTAAACCGAAGCAGTAATTCCTCATATAAATACTCACCAAAAGTTTCAACAGACGAAACTTCCTGGAAATTGCCATGGCTGATTTTGCGCCCACGCTCCCACCATTTAACCCCTCAACCTTCCTCTTGCCTTCTCCTCAACTTCCTCCTCTCTCCTTCTTCGCGTCTTCCTCCTTCCTTTCTCTCTCTGCTTTCTCTCTCTTCATTCTTCTTTCTCTGAAAATCTCTGGACGATGATGAAGCTCGTCAAGATCAACCCGAAAAATCTCAAGCTCAGCCCCAAAGGCCCCTTCCGATCGAGCAGCAAGGAGAAATACACTCCTTCCAAGTCTGATCCGCCGTCGTTTGGCTCCGGAACGACGTCGTCTTCTTCCTCCTTGTCAGATCTCAAGGCCGGCGCCGGCGTTGGCGGTTCGGTTACTCCGACGAGCGTTCTCCCCGAGATATCGGGAGATTTGTCCGATTTCTCGGCCGATATTCACTCGGAGCTCGCCGAGGCCTTCAAATTGATAGACCGAGACAACGACGGAATCGTCTCGAGGAAAGAGCTCGAGGCGCTGCTGAGCCGACTCGGCGGCGTCGGCTCCATCTCGGAAAGCGAGGATTTTGTGGCGTCGATGCTGAGCGAGGTGGACGGCGGCGACGGCGAGGGATGCATCAGCGTGGAGGCGCTTATGAGCCGAGTCGGCTCGGCGGCGGCTTGCGAGCCGGCTGGCGACTCGGAGCTGAGAGAGGCGTTCGATTTCTTCGACACCGATCGCGACGGTAGAATCACGGCGGATGAGCTCCACAGCTTCTTCACTGCGATCGGCGATGAGCGGTGCACGTTACAGGATTGCCGGCGCATGATAGACGGCGTGGGTAGGAGCGGTGAAGGGTTCGTCTGCTTCGAGGACTTCTCCCGTATGATGGAGCTGCAGAGACTCTCGTGATGATCATCATGATGATATAAAATAAAATCATGATGTTCTTTCTCATCTTGTTGCTCCTGATGTTAGAATTCAAAAAAAAAAAAAAAAAAATTTATTATTTCTTTTTTATTTTTTTCCTATTTTATTGGTGTATGGTTTCCCTTCTACGGTGAGAGATAAATATTAAACAGAAAGTCAGGTGATCGGACGGGTGTGAGTGGCTGATCTAGAAGTTTTAGATAAACTGTGTTTCCGACTCAGTAAATATATGAGAAAGGAGAAAAAAAAAAAAATCATCTTCATGAAAATTTGCAAATTTGGTTACTATGTAAAACTGAACCTGTTACGCCGTTTTTGCAAATTTGCAAATTTGCAAATTCGACACTTTTTATGCCGTTTTACACAAAAGTCTTCTGATAATGGAAGCCGATTGGAGTTGTAAAAGATAATGCAATCTATCGAAGACAACACAAACAGAGAAATTTAATGATGGGTCACTCTTGATCAGGCCTTGTCGTCGTCATAAGTCAAATGTATGGGGCATACCTTGATGTTGGATTCCAATAATGTCAGGCGTGTGTGGGAATTGCAAAAGGTTTTTTTTTTTTTGTTTCAGAATTTTAGGGTTGTTTTTGCATTTTTGAGTTAGGGTGATTTGAGTAATGATCTTGAATTGAGTTTGAGTTATAATTTGTGTTGAAGTTGTAACTTGAGTTTGTGTTTAGATGTGTACATTTGAGTTATGATTTGAATTGAAAATCTATTTGAGCTTGTATTTGGGTGTTTTAAAACTTAAATTTATATTTAGATAATATTTTAATAAAAACTCAATGGTGATGAAAAATTTTAATAGGGTATATAGGTGGAGTTTTATTAGTCTTTTTGTTGTGAATGTATAGAAAAAAAATCATTTCAATCAAAATTAAAACGAAAAAGTTATGATATTTTTAAGAATAGAAAAAATATGCACGTTACAGGATTGCCGGCGCATGATAGACGGCGTGGGTAGGAGCGGTGAAGGGTTCGTCTGCTTCGAGGACTTCTCCCGTATGATGGAGCTGCAGAGACTCTCGTGATGATCATCATGATGATATAAAATAAAATCATGATGTTCTTTCTCATCTTGTTGCTCCTGATGTTAGAATTCAAAAAAAAAAAAAAAAAAAATTTATTATTTCTTTTTTATTTTTTTCCTATTTTATTGGTGTATGGTTTCCCTTCTACGGTGAGAGATAAATATTAAACAGAAAGTCAGGTGATCGGACGGGTGTGAGTGGCTGATCTAGAAGTTTTAGATAAACTGTGTTTCCGACTCAGTAAATATATGAGAAAGGAGAAAAAAAAAAAAATCATCTTCATGAAAATTTGCAAATTTGGTTACTATGTAAAACTGAACCTGTTACGCCGTTTTTGCAAATTTGCAAATTTGCAAATTCGACACTTTTTATGCCGTTTTACACAAAAGTCTTCTGATAATGGAAGCCGATTGGAGTTGTAAAAGATAATGCAATCTATCGAAGACAACACAAACAGAGAAATTTAATGATGGGTCACTCTTGATCAGGCCTTGTCGTCGTCATAAGTCAAATGTATGGGGCATACCTTGATGTTGGATTCCAATAATGTCAGGCGTGTGTGGGAATTGCAAAAGGTTTTTTTTTTTTTGTTTCAGAATTTTAGGGTTGTTTTTGCATTTTTGAGTTAGGGTGATTTGAGTAATGATCTTGAATTGAGTTTGAGTTATAATTTGTGTTGAAGTTGTAACTTGAGTTTGTGTTTAGATGTGTACATTTGAGTTATGATTTGAATTGAAAATCTATTTGAGCTTGTATTTGGGTGTTTTAAAACTTAAATTTATATTTAGATAATATTTTAATAAAAACTCAATGGTGATGAAAAATTTTAATAGGGTATATAGGTGGAGTTTTATTAGTCTTTTTGTTGTGAATGTATAGAAAAAAAATCATTTCAATCAAAATTAAAACGAAAAAGTTATGATATTTTTAAGAATAGAAAAAATATTGTTCATTAACTTGAGTTTGAGTTTATGAACTCGAGTTGAAAGGGAAACTTGAACTCAAGTTTAGACCTAAACTCGAGTTCAAACTCAAATTTTATAAAAGAACGTGAACTTAAATAAAATTGTAACTCGAGTTCAAATTTTTTTTGAATTTCATTGTAAAAGAACAACCCCTTATCTTATTTTCCATTCTTCACCTCAAGGTTTCTCTATTTGCAGTTGGGTTCTTGATATTGAAATGCAAAATGGGCACTGATGCTAATATTTTCAGTTATTAGAGAAATATTTCTATATCTTTTTCTAGAGAAAAATGAAAGCCTTGTTTTAGAGATGTGTTAGTGAAATATGAGACTTGGAACCAAGGAAACAAATTCGCAAAATGAAGAAGCTAATATCTTGTTACGTCATTGGCCATAGGGTATAAAATACATAAATGGTTATACGAACAGTGGCAGAGTCAGTCTTTCACTTCAGTACAGGTGTATATTAAATTTGTTTTAACAAATTATTTTAGTGAGAGCATATAAGAAAATATATTTATTTTAATAGGGGCATATATTATTTCAATGGGGGTTTAAGTGTAAAATTTTAAAATTTTTAAAGATAATATTTTTTTCAAAAAAATTTGAGTGGGGACGGCTACCTCCGCTCATCTTCAAGTGACTCCGCCACTCACTACTTACTATCCTACTCTTCACTGACTATTTTCTCGTTTGCAGGTCGGCAAGCAACCAATGACTCTTAGAGCACATTTGGTATAAGAATTCTAGAACATAGAATCTTGATTCTGATTCAAATTAGTGTTTGTTTATAAAAAGTAAAAAGTGGTTATGATTTGACTCATTCAGAATCAGTGTTTAGTTTAGATGGTTCTGATTCAAGGTTTGAACCATAATGTGATGTTTTAAATCAGAATCACACATGATTCTAAAACCACTCCCCTCTTGGTTTTGGGCAGTTCAAACTATTGATTCTAGTTCTCATTTCAGAACCATGATTTGGACCCAAAATCATGAACCATGGTTATGGTTTCAAAATCAAAACTAGAATCATTCTAGTTTGAACCCTCATACCAAACAAAATCTTAATATTTTAGAATTGCTAGGCGCAAGTCATCACAGAAAAGAAAAAAAAAAAAAAAAAAACACTAATAGCATGTGCATTGGGGAATAAAAAGTTCTTGTTTATGATATTCCATAGCTATTAGTAGTGGCCTTAAAATCCTAAGCTATGTATTGTGGCCATTTTATTAATGTTGATAAACTATTAGTACATAAAGATTAAATAATAAACTATGACTCCTTTTTTTAGGGGATAAAGACATGGCTCTTAGTGCTAATAATTTCCAAATGACGCCCACAAATTGTGTGAGTGCTTTATTACTATTATTATTATTTAAAGGAAAAAAAGTAGTAGATATGATATTTCTCAAGTCCTCCCATTATGAAAAGATACTACTGTGATACTCTCTATTTATTATTGTAATTTTGATGATGGTTAAAGAAATGATTAAAGATAATAAGTGCCAAATATGAATTGGTCGATGCTGAACGGTGAGAATATAAAAATAAGAACCCATTTAGTTAGAAGATTCGTTTTCTTATTCGAATCATGGTTCATGATTCGTTACAGTATTTTTTCTCACAAAAAATACACGTAAATAAAAAATAATTATAATCTCATGGTCCTAATTCATGAACTAAACGAGAAGTTATAATCCTCAGTTTTTGTCGTTTTTTGTTAATCGATATATTTCTATCCTATTTACACCTAGAGCTTAGCTTTGATTGCTGTATTTCATTTATATGTTGGTTTATTAAAACATTACCTTTTTAAACTTCACAAGAATCACAAACAATAATCGTTGCAATGTGATAGCAATAGTAATGCTGCGTTAGGTCAGATGTCCTTAAATATATGTTGATGTATCCATTTCTCATGAAGGTTACCTAACCCTTGGAAACGAATAAATATATATATATATATTATGTATATAATATATATATGTATATAATATATATATATATTAGAAAATAATAGAATTTGGATGCGAGATGTAATTAAGGATTAAAATACAGAACAGATCACATGCGAAGAGCAACATTAAACAACAAGGAAAGCAACAAGAAAGAGCATGTCAGTAATCAGTACTGCATCTTTTAGGGACAAAACAAAATTAGTACTATCATAATATATATATATATATATAATTTATATATATATATATTAGAAAATAATAGAATTTGGATGCGAGATGTAATTAAGGATTAAAATACAGAACAGATCACATGCGAAGAGCAACATTAAACAACAAGGAAAGCAACAAGAAAGAGCATGTCAGTAATCAGTACTGCATCTTTTAGGGACAAAACAAAATTAGTACTATCATAATATATATATATATATATAATTTTTTTTTTTCGTTTTCACCATATTCACTTTTTGGTGGTAGAAATAACTACGGAATTGTTCTTTTGAAGTGTAATTTGAGTATAATTTTTGAGTTAAATTTGAGTTATAATTTAAGTTAAAGTTATAACTTGAATAAAGTTGAAACTTAAAAGAACGTGAACTTGAATAAAGTTGTAACTTGAGTTTAAACTTTTTCTGAGCTTTGTTGCAAAAAAAAAAAACCCCTACGTTTTTACTTCTACACTGATCTTGTATAATATTTCTGTTCTAAATTTGGGGAAGAGGGACAAATACTTCTTAAATTATATGATCTATATTTTTACTTTTTATTTTTAATTAATATTTTTTTAGTCAAATAATTATATCAGTCAAAAAGATATTACTTTTAATTCATAGTATTATATAGGGAATCATTGAATGAAGACTTATAAATGCAGTTTTAACTTATTCCATTTCTTATATCTATTAGTCCCTGAATTATGTGTCACTTTGTTACCTGAACTTTTAATTTAAATAAATTACTTACTGCACTTTTAATTTTTGACAACTTTGCTTCTTGCACACTAAAATTATTTCTCAGAAATAATCAAGCATAGTACAAACATTGAATGCAAATTAAGCTAGCTTTTAGTGATTTATAATAACATTAAAAAGAATATTTACATTTAATATAACTATTTTATTAAACTTTTAGTTATTGTTTGCTCAGAACGTGATGATCTATGTGAAATTTCATAAATTCATTGTCAATTTTAGCGTGCAAAGACTAAAGTGATTAAAGTCAAAAAGTTTAGAGACTAATTTATGAAAATTAAAAGTTTATGTATCGAAATGACAGAATGCATAATTCAAAGACTAACAGTGTTGATAACCCTTATTTAAAAAAAAATAAAAAAAAAGAAGGAAGAAAGAGGATTAGGAATTGCACATCGGCAATAATATTTAGAAATAAAAAATAAACTTAAATGTAAGATCAAAACGCAGGCTAGATCTGGCACACTCAAACGCTTACAACTTTCAGAGGTGTATGAGCCCTTTGATTATTAACTAATCAATATATTATTTTTACTTAAAATAAATGGTTATAGCATTTCTCCTTATAATATTCCTACAACAAATTTTCTATTCACGAGGGTGGTTTGCTCTAGCAAGTTGCAGCCTGCAGTTCATTGGAGAATTTTTTCAGTCTGTGGGCTAACCAATATAGTATCATTGATCAGACGGTTGTGATTTAATTTCATTAATATTGATTTGATATTAATATTTTATGTAGCTTTGGATCACTTTGAATAATTAATTTATGAAGGTATAGAATTCCTGTCTCAACACATTATTATATTTACTCCTCCACCAGAGATGTGATTTGGTCAAAAGAATGAACATAGAATGTCTTTTTTATTTTGATAAAAAAAAATATTGCATTTTGTTTGTGTAATATTTAAGGCACTTAATCTGACAGATGAAATTAGTTATTCATATCGTAGATTTCTGTTATCTGAAACTTCAATTAATGGTTCTACATAATTAAAAAAAATGAAAAAGAAAATCCCAATAATGCGGGGGTGTGAAACATCAATTTTGTATATTTATCGAGAGTTTCTCTAGAAAGACTAAAAAAAAAAGAGAATTATCGATAGTTATCTATTTTTCAGCCATCACATATGTATCATAAATTGTATGTTCTTTATATATTTTGAATCTAATGTGATTTTAACCAAATTTTCTGATCCTATAGGTAGAGCGGTCAATCAGAGAAGGTTCCATATTTATAACTCTTCGCTATTTATTTAGAGTTTCTCTGGTAGGCGTATATGAGGCCAGAAATTTTTGTGAGAGTAGGGCAAATAATTATAGCAAGAATATATGTATCATAAATTATATGTTCTTTATATATTTTGAATCTACCAGTTGTGTCAGTTTCTGAC